ACGGCTTGTTGAATGGCCTGGAGGTAAGCAAGCTCTTCTGCTGCTACAGCTTGAAACGCTTGGCCGTGCGGAAGTCAGAGGCATCTTCGACTTGGAGGACTTCAAAGCGCCGCGATATGAGGGCGAGCGTGTCGGAGAGGAATTTGAGGCTGCCCGGCGCGTCCCTGTGCTGCACCTTGTACTCTGCGTGCTTCAGGTAGGCCCGAAGGTCCTCCAGGACTTTCGCTTGATCATGCATGGCCGCGTTGAGGAAGGACACCACTGAGAGGGTGGGATTAGTGGAAGGGAGGGGTGGGAGGTGATCCATGGGAATTAAATTTGCAGCGGTGTCGGGGACCTCATCGGCGTCATTGTCGGAGTCGTCACTGTCGTCGTCGGCAGCCAGGGCAGGCGGGATGCTGGCAACAACGTCTTTGTCGAGGTGTGACATCTTGGTTCCGCGTGTGGCCTTTTCTTTTTTTGCAGGTTCCTTTTTAGAAGGAGCAGGTTGAGCAGTTTCTGCAGCCGTAACACCCATCGCCTGCTGCTGTAACAAGTCAGCAGCGCGTTGACCTGCGCAGGGGTCAAAGACGGGGTCAAGGTTGGGGTAGGCGGCGCGTCAGACGAGGCAGCCGCGTGCCCCCTTTTGCGCTGGTGAGAGGGACCCGCCACTTACGGCGCTGGCGCGTGCTGCAGGTCGGCGTCAAGCGCGAGTGGTTGGCCTTGCTCAGCCACTTGCGCGCGCGGCTCGGAAGGAGGCGGGGGCGCATCAGAAGGCTGATTGTTGACCTCGCCCCCTCCCAGCTGAATGTCCACCCCAGTTGGGGCAGACGCCCCTTCTTCTGCCAGACGCTTGTTCCGCCGGTCACCTGCAATTTCCTGGGCTTGGAAAGTAGACTCGGAATTGGGGTGGCCGGTTGCGACGTTGGGCTTGCCGTGATTATTCGTAGTCGGAGCCATGGCGGATTGGTTAAACTGAAAATTTTCAGAAAGAAGAGTTGAGGGAGACTCGCTGCGAGGCAGAGTAGTTAGTCGTAGCCAGCTTGAACGGGAGAAAAAACTAGAGCGGGAAACGTTGATTGCATCATAAAGTCACCAGTCCTAAGCACTGGGACAAAAAGGGATGTCCTTAGGAGAGTTAGGCTCCATATATCCACCTTCCCCAGGGAAAGCATCCCTAGTACCCTCCCTAGTGTGAGAAGAGGTTCGACAGGGCTATCCCAGTGCCACGACAGACTGAGCCGTTTGAAAAATAAGAGACGTGGGTGGAGGGAAATGAGCTCCAAACCACGTAATTGAAGTTGGAGAAGGGTGAGTAGCGCGCTTCGACGATGCCCAAAAGCTTCAGTAGAATCAGCTTCACTTTCACAATACACAATTTTGAAGAACAATGCATATGTTTAAAATTTAGAATATACCGGCAAGCCCGGGCAGACGTTAAAGAAAATCACACCTGGGTAGTTCCGCACAAAGTGCATGCTCAAGGCTTTTTGTGATGTGGTGTGGTGCGGATGCTTCGAACTTAAGGGTATGCTGGCAAATTATATATATATATATATATATATATTTGTTTAGGCTTGGTATGTGTGCTACAATTGTGGATCCCTCTCTTTTCCTAGTCGACCCTCTTTTCTCTTATCAATTTCTCCCTCTAGCTAAAACTTCTCGACATTTCCTATGCCTAGCTAGCTCCTTAGCTTTTCAACATACCGTAAGAGCCCGGATATAAGACTCATGGGTCTTATCACATACCGCCTAAAAAAAAAAAGTAGGGTGTCTTATAAACGGAAAAAAATAGGGTGTTGGGGTGTCTTGTAAACGGAACTTACATATCTTCATCATAAAAACTCGTAAGCAGTAACACCAGATTCCTTCATTGTGTTTTCATAAAGAGGATGCCACAAAGGGGGTGATATTTTGAGAGAGGGGTGATAATGACAGAGCACACGCGTGATGCAGCTCATGAGTGACGAGGCTGTGCTGGAATCAGGCCCACCTGAATGGTGCATCACATGTTGCCACTACGAGTGCCAACATCATGCGTTGGCATCAAGCCCACCTGAATGTTGCATCACATGTTGCCACTAGGAGTGGCAACATTGTGCGGTAGAAGGCATCTTGCCATCCAACAGCCATAGGTGCCTGCCTCAATTGCTCACCATTCATCCCAACCGTTATCTGGTGCGTTGTCAACGACGAGTTGCATCTGAAGAATCTCCTCTTTGAATACAGATTCCTCTACGAGGAATCTTTCACCCCTTAGTGGCTTGTGGGAACAGACTGGGGTAGACCCCTCTTCCACTCATTTGCCTCTCTTCAATTTCAAAAATTGCATTTTCGTCCCTCCCCCTAGGCTAGCACAGCGGCTTTCCGTGATGCGTAGCAAGCACCCGCCGCCATGGAGGGAATCTCGTGGCGCTAAGTGCCGAGCAGGCGGAAGTACAGCTCCCCGTGTGTACGTGAACATTTTTTGGCGCGTAAATTCCCCTGGCGACACCATCAACGGCCCTGTGCAGCCTGCGAATAAAAGTTCTTCCAGTGGTGCGCAGCGACGTGAACCTCCCCTCACGGCACCGAACGACGAGGAGGAGGATGCTGACGAAGAGGCGGATGGATCGGCCTGTGCTCAGGGAGACGACGACAAGGAATGGTGGGCGAAGCCTATCAGCTCTGACGCGGCAGCGGGTGGTGACGAGTGACGACGAGTCTGGCGGAACGAAGCGGAAGGCGGCAAGTTGTCAATCGCCGTCTAAGCGCCGGCGATACACAAGAGCAGAGAAAGGGAAGCAGAAGGCCCAAGAGCGCGTGAGAGCCCCAAATGGAAGAGACTTGCCAGCAACGCATCACGGAAGACTACGAAACAGACGGCCACTGCTCCGATCGACAACGAGCCAAAGGAAGAGAACTCTGATGATGCATACACGGAGGCTGCGGGCCCGATCCCGGAGTTTCCAGAAGGCAAGAGGCCCAAGGATCCGAAGACCAAGAACCCGGACGCGCAACCTCCCTCGCCGCATAGTAGGTTCAATAAGAAGGAGAGGCGAAGCTTCGCGGTGGGCGAGAAAACTCGGTGGGCGAACCGCTACTACGAGTTGAAGTTGTTGAAGAGGACTGCCTTGGAGGCGGGTGTGGGGCAGTGTTCAATTCGGCGGTGGGTGGAGGCTTCGGAGAAAGCGAGGTACAATGGAGCGGCAAAATGCAGGAAGCAGCTCCATGGTGCAGGGCGACATGCGCATCACCCCGAGATGGAAGAGGCACTCGCCAAGTACATCTGCGAGCAGCGGGCCTTGGGGCTGGCGGTCAGTGTGAACAACATTCGGGAGTGGAGTCGGAAGTACATGCGCAAGCGTGACCCACGGAGCAAGTGGCAGGGGCCGAATCGCTGGAGCCAACGATTTCGGAAGCGGTCGGGATTCAGGCTGCGCTGTCGAACGAAGGTTGGGCAAAATCTATCACCCGGTAAGTTTCCAAATGACCTCGATCCCCCCCCCCCCCTAATTTTTAGTGCTCCCCCTCTGCTCCCTCTATGATCTCTCCTCCTCACGCTCCCCCTCTGCTCCCTCTACAGTATAATCTCTCCTCCTCACGCTCCCTATCTCTCTCTCTACAACCTCCCACCCCCCTCCCTCCATTCCTCTCTCCACCCCAAAAACAGAGTGTGCGGCAGACTGCGAGGGGTTTTGGAAGTTCGTACGAATCAATCGAGCACGCCATAACTTGGATATGCGACACATCATTAACGCCGACCAAACTCCACATTTTGTGGAGATGCCGGCGGAACGGACGCCCGACCACAAGGGATCCCGCTCGGTGCCCGTGAAGACGGCGGGATACGAGAAGCAGAGGCTAACCGTGATGTTGGCCTGCTCAGCCAACGGGGACAAGCTACGGCCTTGGGTCTGGTTCAAGCGCAAGACCATACCCAAGTGCGAATGTCCAGCCGGTATGCATTCACTTTGGCTTGGGCACAGAATGATGAGCTTGATTATCTGTGCATGTTTGGCTAAACAGCAAAGCATATATTTTACACGGATGTCTAATGCTTAAGAGGTGCGACTGTGTTTGTCTGGCAGGAGTCGAGATGCAGGCCCAAGAGAACAGCTGGATGGACGAGACAGCCGTCAGGAAGTGGTTGGAGAAGGAGGTTCTACCCTTCCTCAACCCGAAGCGAGGGGCCCCAGCTAGACGCGCCATGCTGGTGTTGGATTCGCACCGTGGTCATTTGACTGCCGGGATGAAGCACGCCTACATGACGCACAGCATCGTACCCGCCATCATTCCAGCAGGATGCACCCCACCAATCCAGCCCCTGGATGTTTCTGTTAACAGGTGTTTCAAGGCAGGTGTGAGGGCGCGCTACGCAAAGTGGTTTGCGGAGCATGGCATCAACCTGCGGACGGCAAAAGGTAAGGCCGCAAGTCTGAATTCACAACCTGTGCGTGCTTCATGCACTCGTTCATATCCCTGCGTGCGCCCCTTTTACTCCCAAAGCCCATCAGGAAACCTGCGCCGCCCACCCCATCCAGTCGTCCTGAAGTGGATCGACAAAGCTTGGGATGAGGTGCCGCGCTACGTCATCGTCCGTGCCTTTAAGACCTGTGGAATTTCAAGCTCACTGGACGGAGAGCCGCCTCTGAATGTCTCTGAAGACATGTCTCTGCAAGGGACGAGTGGGGACAACACAGGCTTTGTGGAGGAGCAGGAGCAGGCGGAGGAGGGGGAGGGGGCGGGGGAGGAGGAGGGGGAGGAGGCAGGCGACGGGTTGGGTGGGGAAGAGGAGAGAGAGGAGGAGCGGGGGGAGGAGGAGGAGGAGGCAGTGGCAGCTGATGAGGAGAATCCTTACCCTGAGACAGAGAAGTGCCGTGGCGCTGCAGGAGATGCTGAGAAGCTAACAGAGTCTGAGAGCACGGCGAGGCATGCCTGGGGGGTGCGTGATTTCACCAAGGCTCCCCTTGCTGAGGCAGTTGAGGAGGAGACAGGCTGTGATTTTAGTACGATGGAGACATTCGAGGACTTCTAGAAAATGAAGAAGCCTTTTATCCTGGTTATCGAATGCATGCAAAACTATGGTTTCTGTCTACAAAACAAACAGCAAGCAATGTAGGAGGGGGGTCTTATCTCATACCGCCACTTGGGTGTCTTATAAACGGGAAGTCCGAATACAAGATAGACGCCTAATTGAAGACCCAGGGTCCTCTATTACTAGGGGGTCTTCTATCCGGGCTTTCCACGTACTTTCCAAAGCACCAGCACCAGAAACTGCGTCTGTACTTGGACAGAAGATGCCCAGAAAGTGCATTTGTACATCCATGCACACTGGTAGCCTAGTACCCCTTGGTGAGCCTCACTTGCAGCCAGCTCAAGACACCATCGGAGTGCGCACCAATGCTCATGAACGAGCTGCCACTAGCTTGAGATCCAGGAGTCGTCTGGGCGTCCTTCCCACCGTCTCCTGACGACACACCAGAACTCCTTGCTGAACTCCCTTCATCTCCATTGCTCGCACTCAGCTCTTTCCCAACAGCCTCCCACTCTTCCTCCTTGTCGGGGCAGTGCTTCTCAATGAGCGCGCTAAGCCGGTATGCCACGTCCTTCATGTCAGGCCGCCGTGTGCCGGGCGCCTTGATGCAGTCCAGAGCCAGGTCAGCAAAGTCCACCACCGCCTCGTCACTGGCCTGGAGCCGGCTGTCCTTGAGCGCCTCCAGCTCGTACAAGTCCACCATCTTCATTGCCTGCAGCGTGCCCACGTAAGGCAACGCGGTAAGGAAGAATGGCGGAGCATGGTAGTGAGCATTGAGGCGCAGGGACAGGGATGAATGTGGCCTGGCATGCACGTACCCATTCTCTGATATGGATCTCCTGATGGAAGTTGGGTGGCGTCCCACTCAGCAACTCCAGAAGCACGATGCCAAAGCTGCAAGCAGCCATGACAATGGGCACAGTGGGGGCACATAAAGACGGCCGGAGGTAGGGATGGACGGCAACACACATAAGCCTGTGGAAAATACAATCCGGTACAAAAACAAAGGCATTGATGTTGCGGTTTCTTGTGTGGGAGCAAGTGAGCAAAAGAGCAAGTGAGGCGCAAAAGAGCAAGTGCGGCGCAAAAGAGCAAGTGCGGCGCAAAAGAGCAAGTGCGCCGCAAAAGAGCAAGTGCGGTGCAGAGAGCAAGGAAGGCGGACCTGAAGACGTCACTCTTAGCAGTGATGATGTTGGTGCGGTTGTAGTCGGGGTCCACATAACCGGGCGTGCCCGCCACTCTGGTGGCATCGGAGGCGCCGTGAGTGAGGCGCTTGAGCAGCCCAAAGTCAGCGACCTTGGCGTGCATGTCGCGCGTGACGAGGATGTTGGCGGGCTTGATGTCGCGGTGCAGGATGGGCGTGTCAAACTCATGCAGGTATGCCAGCCCCTCCGCTGCTCCCTGCGCCAGGCGCAGTCGCTGCCGCAGCGACAGAGGTCCTGGAGGAGAGATTAGGAGAGGCAAACAGAGAGAGGGCTGAAATGCATAACAGGTACAAAGCGTTGAGACAGTGTGAGTGCGACTCACTCTTGGTCCTGTAGATGTGGTAGTGCAAGTCTCTGTTGCCCACAAACTCGTACACGAGGATCTGCTCCTGCTTGCCTGTCTCCACGTTCTGGTCTAGACAGAAGCCCAGCAGGCGCACCAGATGCGCGTGGTTGAGCGACGCCATGGCGCGCACCTGCAGGGGGGGCAGAGGAAGGTGAAACGCCAGAGCAACTCGACACAGATAGAAACGGCTGGTAGATCTGAACTGGCAGATGAGCGCATGATTGCTACAGGCGCAGCTCAGCATTCAGCATTCAATGAGAAGCACACGGCGAATTTATGCGAGTGCGCTGTGGCAGGGCATGGAAGAATAAGGAATGCAGGGGACTAGTCATGCTGCCAAGAGCCCGGCAGGCAGTCACCTCTGTGCCGAAGTCGTTGGTCATGACAGTGGAGCGCTTCACGGCCCACAGCTGCCCGTGGGGCGAGTGGCCCTTGTACACCACGCCAAAGCCGCCCCTGCCGATCACATTGTCCTTGGACCAGTTATCCGTGGCCTTCATTATCTGGTGCAGCGAGAACTGCTCGCACACATCCAGCCCCTCCCACTTCTCTGCTCACATGCCAAGAGCAGTGAGAAGGGCGGGAGACAACGCGGGAAAAGAAAGCAGGTGGGGTGCAGACGAGTAGACAAAGCCGCGGTGCAGAAAGAGATGCAGCATGGGGCTAGCAGAGAGGCATGGATGCAGGCCGGGCACGATGTGCAGGCAGGGCAGCGACGGCATGGGAGCAGGGTGGGAGGACTGACTTTGTGTGTGGGGCCACAGCAGCCATGCGAGCACAGCAGCCAGCAGCGTGAAGCCAGCAAAGCACCCCACCGCAATGCCCACTATGGCGCCCGTCGACAGAGGGGGAACTGCAAAAGCGGGGCAAGGGGGGAGGGGGGAGGAGGGGAGTGAAGGCGGCGAGGGAGCGATGAGGTGTGAGAGAGACTGAGTGCATGGGAAGGATGGCAACGTCACACTGGGCAGGGACGGGGCAGTGCATGCAATCCCAGCATGCCTCACCAGTGGTGGTGGTGGAGTTCACAATGGCGCATGTGGAGCCGTTGCCTGAGTTGAGAGCAGAGTACCCGGCATCACAGAGGCATGTGAAGTTGGAGGGGGAGGCCGGGGCAGGAGGCACACACGCCCCATGCCCGTCACACGGGCCGTTGTCAGTGATGCTGCAGAACGCCTGGCAGGCTGCGGCGCTGCGCTGGGTGGCATTGGACGAGCACTTGGCGGTCCGTTGCAGGGTGAGGCAGTTGCCCGCCAGGCTCACCCTCGCCTCCTTGTCAGCCCCCGCCACCGAGTAATATCGAATGCCAGAGATGTCAGCGTCGTTGCACTTGCCGGCGAACACTCCAAAGCTCGTGTCGCCCAGGTCCAGCTGGTTGGGCTCGCTGATGGCAGCGGGGCACACCTGGCAGCCCGCAGCAAAGAGCACGGCATCGCCGTAGAAGTAGTTGTGGGCCAGGTTGATGAGGGCCTGCCCATCCGCCACCATGTTCTCAAAGTTGCGGTTGATGCGCCCATACAGGCTGTTGTTGCTCACATCGCTGCACACAGCGCAGGGGTGAGATGGGAGGGGCAGCAGTGAATGGGTAGGGCTAGGGGGTAGTCCCACCCTACAGCAATCACGACACGGAATGCTGGCACTCATGTATGCAACACTAAATGCTCGCCTACTACCTCTCTTTGCGCAGACCACAGTGGTGGCGTGAGTAGGTGCATGCAAGGTACTGGGCATTGAGTAGCCGACTCAGCTCACATCTGGTTGACACACTTGTCGAAGAGGCAGTCTGGCAGGGGCCCGTACAGGTGGTTGTTGCTCACCATGCTGCCACCCCATCCCACACCATGCAGCACCATAAGACGCACCCAAACAGAGCTGCATGGAAGAGCAAGTGGTAGCTACAAAGGGACCAACTGTACTCGAGGACACATGGACGACAATGCTGCTGGGGTAAGGCATGGGGTGGCAGGGGTAGTCACAAGTGGCAGGGCCACACAGAAGAGGAGCGTGTGGCTGCCTGCACTCACCAGCCTCTGCTGGCCTCACCCCCTCTCCACGCCCTACTTGCACGATTGTTGCGCCGCAGCCACTCACATGCGCCGCAGCCACTCACATGCGGCGCAGCCACTCACATGCGCCGCAGCCACTCACATGCGGCGCAGCCACTCACATGCGGCGCAGCCACTCACATGCGGCGCAGCCACTCACATGCGGCGCAGCCACTCACATGCGGCGCAGCCACTCACATGCGGCGCAGCCAATCACATGCGGCGCAGCCACTCACATGTGCCGCAGCCACTCACATGCGCCGCAGCCACTCACATGCGAGGGCCGCAGCCACTCACACGTGCCGCAGCCACTCACATGCGCCACAGCCACGGCAGCGAGCAGATGGCGGATGGCAGAGGGCCTTCGATGCTGTTGTTGTCCAGCCAGCTGCGGGGAGGCAAAGGCAGGGGCACGAGCAGCAGCAGGGCGCAGTGGGGCAGAGCAGAGGTGGGTGCTACAGATAGGCTGAGACGCTGAAAAGCACATGGAACGGTGCACGAGTAGAGGAGAGAAACCAGCAGGGCGCCGTGGCAGAGAAGTTGGAATGGTGTTGCCATGTCACCTCCAATACGGAAGAAGAACCATTCTGCTGACCCCCGCCCCCCCCCCCATGTGCACGCTACCATGTGCGATTTGGCTTACAGATGGCAACTCCAAGCCCACAATAAAAATGACCACCATGCTGGCTGGCCCACGCCCCTGCTACACTTGGCATACATGCCTAACCCCTCCCACCCCTTGCAAGCAGCAGACTCCCCACTACACCACAACCCTGCCTAATCACCTCCTAGGCTGCAAACAGCCTTGCCAGCGCACTGCGCACAGCACGCTCGTCAGTGTGGTGGCGGCACTCAAAAGCGAGGCCGGATTGGGTGCCCACAAGGCATCCACTACTAGCAGCAACCATGCCCACTCAACTGCCACACCCAGCAATAGGTCTCGGGCGTTGCATGGCACATGCGCTTGCCCCATGACCAAAATGAATGAGGGACGTGGACCACCAAAATCAACTGGATAGATGGCAGAGGAAGTGCAAAAGGGGATGAGCGCGACGATGCGAGTAGCTTGGATCGCCTGGGCTTCCCCACTAGACACACCACTGCGGCGCACCCCACCACTGCAGTGTAGCCACTGCCCCACCTAGCCCTGCTATCGGCGGGCACCCCCGATAGAGGTGGGTGGTGGCATGGCAGCGGATGCACGCCAAGGACGCCATGGCAACGCCACCCGCGCAGTGCAGGCGCGCACCCCCCAGTGCAGGCGCGCACCCCCCAGTGCAGGCGGCAACACCCAGTGCAGGCGGCAACCCCCAGTGCAGGCGGCAACCCCCCCCAGTGCAGGCGGCAACCCTCAGTGCAGGCGGCAACCCGCAGTGCAGCCCGCCTCCCGCCCATCTCCATGGGCCGCCACTGCCAGGCAGTCCAGCAGACCCGAGGCGTCGGGGGATTGCCGGCACATGGCCATATCCACACTGCACACATGCGCCTGCGGCAGTTGCTAACAATGTGTCCCATGCCCCTGCGCACCTGACTTGTTGATGATGACACGATCGGCCTTACTTGGTGAAACGGCACCTCATGCGTCCTGACATGCCCGCCTGACTTGATCTACCCAAAATCATAGTCGATAAAAGGACCCCTTGAGACCGAGAGAGAGGCCAGGCAGAGAAGACACAGGCAGAGAGAATTGGCAGAGAGGACCGGCAGAGAGGACCGGCAGAGAGGACCGGCAGAGAGGAGCAGCAGAGAGGACGAGCAGAGAGAACCAGCAGAGAGGACCGGCAGAGAGGAGCAGCAGAGAGGACCGGCAGAGAGGACAGGCAAAGAGGACAGGCAGAGAGGACCAGCAGAGAGGACCGGCAGAGAGGACCGGCAGAGATGGCACTCACATCTGTTCGAGCTTGTCCAGTCGGCTGATGGCAGACGGCAGGCTGGCGCTGAGATGGTTGTTGGCCAGATAGCTGGCAGGGGTTCATGGCAGGGAGGCATGGCAGCGAGCACTGGCACACGGGAGAACAGCGAGCGCAAGAGCAGCAAGGGAAGAGCATGCAAAGTGTGTGGTGCAGAGGACCATGTATAGACGCATCAGCACACGAGTGGCGGGCACGAGAGGCTCACAGGTACACGAGGTTGGTCATGTTGAAGATGGCGGCTGGGATGGAGCCAGTGAGGCCGTTGTCGTTGAGGATGCTGCATGGCATGGGAAGGGCAGCGCGCATGAGACACCGGCTGCTATGTGCCACGCTGGCACTGGCAGCTCCTCCTACAGCATGCCAGGCTGGATGATGACAGCCTGGCACGACATGCAGCTGTGGTTGAGTATGTGGTGAGGGGCACGTGGTGAGCGGCATGTGTGAAGGGGTATGAGGTGAGGGGCATGTTGCGTTCTAGTGGGAAAACACATAAGGCTCACACGGCGTCAAGAGTGGTGAGGGTGGAGATGGAGTCGGGAATGGACCCCGTGAAGTTGTTGTGGCTCAGATCTCTGCCGCACACCACAAGCAAGGCAACCACACACCCGGGAGGGTTGAGAACAGCCCATGTGCTGCTCCGTGCACTTAGCGCACCACATGCAGCTGGATGCCGCGACGCCCAGCAGGTAGGATATCACGTGCGTGGCCATCAAGGCCCCCCTCGTGCAAAACCGGGACCCCACAGCAGGCAAGCTCCTGGGGTGGGCCGCGTGCGAGGCCACACGGCACAAGGAAGGACCACCTGGCCGAGCGGCGCACCATTCGACAGATGCGCCAGCGCACCAGGATCACGTCAGCAAGAGCACCCACGTGGCCGCCCGGCGCCGCCTCAACGCCAGGCCCTCGTTGGGCACCATGCTGGAACGCGCGCAGGCACTGGCCCTCCATGCGACCACCAGCGCCGCCATGCACGCGCACGAAGCAGGCAGCGCCAACGCCATGGAGGCCCTCTGTGCCGATGATTTGCTGCACATCCTAGAGGCCCCCTCGACCCCCCTTAGGGAGACTGGGCGGTAGCTAGGTAGGAGTTCTGCCTCACCTCTTACCTGTATGTTGTGGCAGTTGTTACAAACAAAGGACCATCCGAGAGAGTGAAGAAAAGAGAGAAAGGGAAGCTGTAAGTGTGCTTTACGTAGTGTGCTTTAAGTGACCTCCCTTCGATACGAGGAAAGAGAGAGGGAGAGAGAGAGGCTTACAGCCTTTTGAAGCTGTTGCTCCAGAGCGAGAAGTCTGGCAAGGGGCCCGTGAAGCCATTTCCTGCCAGGCTGCTGCACAACGCAGAGTCCAGGGACATGAAAGTAGAGCACCATGGGGGAACGATGTTGCCAGCATATACAATGGTAGCACACTCCGTTGGAGCGAATGTCCCATTCATCGTGCTGACATGAAAGGGAATGCTACACTCACACCGAGTCATTGACAAAAGGACCTTTGGAGGTGACCCTGTGGAGAAAGCTGTGTGCTTTGGGTGTTTCTAGGTTCCTATTTCTAGAATGGTCCTTCGTATCCCACAGGGGCAGCACGCATGGTGGGGGCAGTGCGTACAGCGTGGTAAGAGTGGAGATGGCTCTGAGCGTCACTGGAAGGCCCCCGGAAAGGAAGTTGTTGGCCACTTGCCTGCGTTGGGTGGGATGGAGGCGAGACAGGGGGGAGAGGAGATTGCATGGACGTGGTGGACATGCATGCCGTGAACAGGCGCACATGCGCACACGGTGGACCCCTAACACACATGCCGCTGGGTCAGGGACAGTGAAGGTGCATAGTGAAGCGATGCAACGAGGTGTGCTTGAGAACTAGTTTCGGACAAATAGGACTGCTCCCTCAGCACCTGGCAGCCACAAGTGCTAGCAAAAAACATCACGGAGGCGAGGAAACAGAGGGGAACAGATGGATGGATGGACGATCTGGTAGCAGGTGCAGTGGAGGCATGGAGGAGGTACTGACAGTGAGAAGAGCATGGGGAGCTGGAACAGGGCGGATGGGATGGACCCATGGAACTTGTTGTCGCTGAGGTTGCTGGGCAAGACAGGCAAACGCGGCAACACAGTGAGCCAGTTATTTTGTCTCGTGTTCCGTGCAAGAGTCCAGAGGGCCAGCAGGCTTGCTCAGGGACCGTAAGCTGCAAGGCAGTGTCGTGTAGACATGAGCAAAACCGGGTAATTACCCGACCCGGCCCGGGTTTGCCCTACCCGCAATCGGGTCCGGGTCGGGTCGGGTCGGGTAATTTCCGGGTAATGTTTGGAGGTCTGTTACCCGACCCGACATTTTAATACCGGGTAATTGGGTACCCGTCTGTCGGGTCGGGTATACCCGACCCGCATTTAATTGAAGTCGGGTAATATTACCCGGGTACCCCTAGGTGGCTGTAGAATTCAGCAAACCCAGAGTAACAAACCCAAAGTCGGGTCGGGTACCCGCGACCCGACGGGTAATAAATTACCCGACATTTCGGGTAATTCTCGGGTATGCATTACCCAGCCCGAGTACCCGACCCGACCCGGCCGGGTAATTCGTCAAAATCCTATTACCCGACCCGGCCAAAATGTCGGGTCGGGTCGGGTACCCGCGACCCGACCGGGTAAAATGCTCAAGTCTAGTGTCGTGCTTGCACTGTGCTGCACCCAGGAGCGCGCACGCTGGATAGGGCAGTGGAGCCACTCACATGTCAATGAGTTTGACCAGCGTTGTCAGCTGCTGCGGGATGGACCCCGAAAAGCTGTTGTTGCTCACATCCCTGCCATTGGCATTGCCACGCATGTGACAGGTTGACACGATTCGTGGAACATGGAAACGGCTGCACTAGTTACCTTACCCTACCCCCCCCCCCCCCCGAAGCCGCCTTTGTGAAGGGCGCGACTCGCGCGTGCACGTCTTACAGTACGGCAAGGGCCGTGATGTGCAGAAGGGGCAGGGGAAAGGTTCCTGTGAAGAGGTTGTTTGCGATGAACCTGATGCAGGAACAAGGCACGCGTGGTGGGGGGATGATGCTATGGGCGCACCATGCACACAGGCGGATGTGTGAAGATGTATGCACACAGGTGATCATACACCCTGAAGAAAAAGCACTAAAATCATTACATGAGCCAGCCTATGACAGCATCATGATGCCCTAGCTGTTTCTGCAGGCCAGCCAGGCAGGTCGGTGAGAAGAAGGTGTTGGTGGTTCATGCACGAGGTGAGGGATGGGTGCAGCACAGCTCACAGGGTTGAGAGGTCCTTGAGAGCAGTGAAGGCCGGTGGCAGCACGCCGGAGAAGTTGTTGGTGTGCAGGCTTCTGCATGGCGCGGGGATTGCAGGGGGTGGGTCAGAGGTGGCATGCAGCAAACGAGTGGAGAAAGGCAAGGGGGGGCACAGCAAGGTGGGGGGAACGGGGGAGGAAGATGTGGTGGGGAAGAGAGGATGCATGCACATGTCTGTGAGCCATGCCATGCGCGCCACGCACATGGCTGTGAGCCATGTCATCTGCGCCACTCACATGCCTGTGAGCCATGTCATCTGCGCCACTCACATGCCTGTGAGCCATGTCATCTGCGCCACCACATCAAGGCCTGAGCTGAGACTGTTGTTGGACACGTCCCTGGGGTGCACGCACGTGGGGTGCAGTGCAGGCATGCACGTAAGCGGTGTCAAGAGAACGTAAGGGTGGGAAAGAAGCCGCATTGGCAGAACAAGGCAGTGCAATGAGCAACCAGTGGCGTGCCATGTGGAAACGTCTGTACTGTGGTCGTTCCCTGGCCCCTGGGGCGCGCATCGCTCATCCTCACAGCAACTTAGAGCAGTAGGTCGCCTCAAGACAAGGCTTAGCGGAGACGCTGAGTGGCGTGAGAGGCTTACAGAAAGCTCATGGTGGTGAGGAGGGTGAAGGCGGGGGGAATGGGTCCTGTGAAGAGATTGTTGGACAGCTGCCTGCTCGCACGGCACGTGCAAGGGATAGGGCAGAAAGAGCAGCGCCATGGAGGGGCACAGCGAAGGACGGATGGAGTCACGAGCGCGCGCACGAGGGCAGGCCAAGGGGCCAAGAAAGAGCATGGACGGCGGAGAGATGAGGGTATAAGAGCTGGGCAGAGAGGCGCGGCTCACAGCTCGAGGAGGCTGGGCAGCGCGAGGTGTGGCGGGATGTGCCCTGCGAAGGCATTGTAGCCAAGCAACCTGAGAGGCATGGCACGAGAGACTCAAACATTCAACGCCCCAAGGAACCAAGCATAAGGCCCTCAAGATACAGAACGGGAAGTATGATGGCTGGAAAAGGGTGGACGAGCGGGAGGAAAAGAGGGGGGGAGATGGTGCGAGGGGTAGAAAAAGGGGCAGGGGCGGGACGCTATGAGGAGAGAGAGCAGGAGAGAGGGGAGTACGGGATGTACAGAGAAAGTAGGGGATTGCGGGATTGCAGGTTGGGTGGGTGGGGCCGGAGGCAGAGAGGCGAGCGACGCACAGCGACTGGATGTTGGTGGTGAAGGCACGGGGGATCACACCCGATAGAGCATTGCGTGATAGGTCCCTGGGGGGGGGGCAGGGGGAGGAGGGGGGTGGGGCAGAAGGAACAACGATATGTGAGTGGAGGTGGAACCGAGACAGGGATGAGAAAGGAGACAGGGACAGGGGGTTGGCAGAGGGCACAGCTTGGAAGATGCAGGGAACTCACAGTAAAGTGAGAGCTGTTAGGGTAGAGAGTGTGGCGGGGATGGTTCCCTGGAGATTGTTGTAATTCAGAATCCTGACACATAAAGAAGGCAGCTCTTCACGTTGGGAGTGCAGGTAATTGGTGGGGACGGCCGCATGGCAGCATGGCAGCATGGCAGCATGGCAGCATGGCAGCATGGCGGCATGGCAGCATGGCAGCATGGCAGCATGGCGGCATGGCGGCATGGCGGCATGGCAGCATGGCGGCATGGCGTAGCAGGCAGTGGCTCACAGCTCTTGCAGGTTGAGGAGAGAGGACCAGCTCTTGGGCAGGTAGCCGTCCAGGTTGTTGTGAGTGAGGGATCTGCACGGCAGCAGGCAGCAAGCACGGATGGATGCCTCAGGTTCAACCAGCAGGAGTTGTCAAGCGACTTGGGCAGGCGTGTGCTTGCCGTGCTGGGCACGGCACAGCAGCACGGCTGCCTGTTGGTGCAGGCCTTGTGGTGGCCGCGCGCATGGAGGCAGCACCGCACACAATGCCACCAGGTGGCCTACAATCACACGCGTTCGCCATGCATGCTTGCATCTATGTCCAGGCGCATGAAAGAGTCTGCCTAGAACATTCTAGTGTTGCCCATAAAGCGTTCCCCAGCTATCCGTAGGGGAGGAAGGAAAGGAGAGATCCGACGTTGTGAGAGGCAGGGTGCGTTTTCTCCATGATCACGTTGTGGAAGACACGCTGTGCATGTCATCTCACAATCCCCTGCGCACGGCACTTACAGGCTGGTGAGCGCCGTGAGGTGCGAGATGTCGTCCGACAGCAGCCCCTGCCGCCGCGGCTCGTCCGAATTCACGTTCCTGCTCACACGGGCATGCGCACACGCGCACACGGGCACACGCGCACGCGCACACGGGCACACGCGCACGCGCACACGCACACGGGCACGCACATACGGGCACACGCACACGGGCAGGCACACACGGGCAGGCACACACACGGGTAGGTAGACGAGACTCTGCATACTCAGACAGGGCCAGTGAAGGCCATCGCATGTGTGGCTCCAGTGCCTCTTGCTGTGGCGCAGCAAGGGGAGGAGGCATGTGGCGAAGGCGGAAAACAAGGTGCAGTAGGAGGAGCTCACAGCGCATGCAGGTTGGAGAGGTGCGTGACCCAGTCGGGGAAGTCCGCTGCACGCAGGTAAGATAGGTCGCTGCATGGAGGGACGCACAGCCACCACATCCACACAAGTCAGTCGCACAGGGCTGCTCTCATGTTGGGTAAGGCGAGCGAGGGAAGTGCGTGTAAGCAAGGTTGCTTCCGCCCTCTCATGCTTGGACTTATGTGCGGCTTACAGTGCAGTGAGGGCCGTCAAGTACTGGATCTCTCTGGGAATGTCCCCCGTGGCATTGGTGAACGAGCTGAGTGTCCTGCGCTCATGCACACGCGCACATGCAGCACGAGGGAACATGGTCCCACTGCCAAGTGAGCGGTGGGCAGAACCATCGCGCACAGTGACATGAACAATGGGATGACGCACGATGCCAGCACTGCTTCCCTGTGCACCTTACTGCACTGATGCTTACAGGTGCTGGAGGCTGTCCAAATGCGAGAGGATGTGCAGCGAGGTGAGGTCCCCTGTGAACTCCGCCAGGCCAACTAGAAGCCTGGGTGTGGACGGGCAGTGAAAACAAGCCATCAGGCGGACGGTGACCCTTCTGCACAGGTTGCTAAGGAGTGGTGTGACGTGACGCAGTGGGCGGACCAAGTACGGAGTGCCATGCGCATGGAGAGTGAGAGTGCGTGCAGGGGAGTGCAGGGCGTACAGTGCGTGCAGGTTGGAGAGCGAGGAGAGCCATGCAAGTCCGTCCATGGTGCCAGTGAGCAGGCACTGGTCCGCGCCAATGGCTCTGACGCCACACGCACCGCGCAATGAGCAATGGAGCACGTGCAGGGGGCAGGAGGCACATGCAGAGGGCAGGAAACACATGCAGAGGGCAGGAGGCACATGCAGAGGGCAGGAGGCACATGCAGGGGGCAATGGGAGCACATCCAAGAGGCGATCGGAACACATGCAAGAGACTGGTAACGAGATTCGAGATGACACACCCTGCAAGTTGTGAAAGCGAGATCCAAATGACACACGGAGCAGATAGGTGGAAAGATTGACTCCGTGAGCTAGGAGCAGACTTGAGGGTGCAAGAATCTGGAGCTGTGGTGGATGGAAGAAGGGCAGAGCACGGGGCGGTTGCTTTGTGGTGCAATGAGCAGCACGGGTGTTGGCCCGTGGGATGCAACTCGTACAGGTAGGTGAGGCGGGTGAGAGTGGCGAGCGATGGAATGGGCCCCGCCAGTTGAATGTACGTCAGATCGCTGTGGCGAAGGGGAGGCGGGAAGAAGGAATGGGTGAGTGGAGATGAATGTGAGGTTGCAGGTCCCAGCTGGTGGTCAAAGGGTGCACAGATGGACGGAACGGCGGGGAGAGATGATACGCAGGTGGGCCGCGTGGCGAGGGTGAGGGACGAGATGGGAAGTGGAAGCATGACACAGGCGAGGCGGGGCATGGGCACGAAGCAATGTACGAGAACAGGGCGAGCAAGGGCGGTGGAGCAGGGCGAGCAGGGGTGGGCATAGTGCAAGCACAATGCTTGTGGCGGAGAGAGGGGTGTGGGTGGCAACGGACAGGTGCTGGAGAGAGGCGAGGGCGGTGATGGCAGCGGGGATGGCGCCGCTGGGACGAGGATCCGCCTCCGCGAAGGCCGCCGAGTCCCTGCCACCACGCACATGCACACACGCCATACCATGCACCAACCCCTCCCCCATCTCCCACCCAACTTCCCCTTCCCACCACCCCACGTCCCCAGTGCTCCCCTTCTCAACAATTCCCGTCCTCGTCGTCACGGCCACCGCTTTGCCTCTCTTCCCCCATCTCACTCAACCCCCTCCCGCCATCCCTCCCCCCACCTCCCCTCCCCACCCCCCCGCCCTCCCGCTTCACGCACACAAGGTCCAGCCCATTCGGAGATGAGACGGGAAATGCACGGCGGTGAGTGCATGGAGTGCATGGGGGGCGACGAGGGGCGACGAGGGGCGACGAGGGGCGACGAGGCTCACAGAGCAACGACGAGCCCCTTAGGGCTGCACGTGACGCCCGTCCATGCGGAGCACGCCGTGGTGGCGTTGCTGTTGCCCGCCCACGCGCCGCTCCACGCGTCCCGCAGCTGCACCAGCGCGCGCACTGCCACAGCCAAGCAGTGGGGCAAGGGAGACACTCAGCAAGACGAGTCGGCGCGTGCAACAAGAGTGTACAGGCTGGAGCCTTCCGACGGATTAGCAGCTGCTAAGCGCCGTGGCTACGGCGAAGTGGGAGATGTCGCCGAGGACTGCTGGGAGAGTCGGGTGTGACGACGGGCGACGCACATTGCGACTCTTCCACACTGACGGGCCTTGCCGCGCCGCCGCCGCTCCATTTGGAGTTGCCCGCCGCGGCGGTGGCAGCGTCGAGCTTCAGCAGCGAGCGCTGGGCGCGCGGGGGACGAGCGACGGGCGACAGCACGCCGCGCCGAGCCGGTCGACGCGGGGCGCCCGGATGCGGCGGCGGGCGGTTGGCAGTGGAAAAGGAGCAGTCGGCGGCGGCAGAGAGCGCGATGGCCGCGACGAGGAGAAGACGAGCTGCGGCTGCTGAATGGCGCGGGCGCGGCGCACGGCGCGAGGCAGGGGAACGAGGCTTAGGCGGGGCGGCACGCATGATTGAGAGTCGTGGACGACAGCGGCGAGCAGTGGGACTAGCTTCGCTGGAGTCGCCTAGACGCATGGAAAACAAGACTATCGCAGCGATCTCACAACCTTGCAACTCGCTTTATCAAACTGTCGCTGTGTCCAATCAGGGTAGCGGCTCGGGGTGAGTGCACTTGGTGCGCCTACTCACGTTGTAGCAGGGTAATGAGAGAGCGTTATGAGATCCAAGTAGCCCATCCAGCGGGATCTGAGCACGTGGTCGTGCAAGTTCTCACGCACCCATATCAAGCACGAGAAGACAGTCCAGCTCCTGGAACGTGAGAGCTGCTGCCAGGCAGATCACCCTCGCGGATTCCGATTCCACAGGAAGTGCCTTTGGCATCAGTTGGCCCCCCCGACGAGTTGCGCAAGTTTGGTCGGGTAGCCAAGGTCGAAAGCAGTTTTATCGTGACGACGTTCGCCAAAACCGCAACCAGTCGCACAATTTTGACAGGTCTCCACAGACGTTCCAGTCCAGCTCATAATGTACACCTGTTCCCGTGTAAAGGCTTGTTGTCGTGGATTCACAGGGCACCGAAATCATTGCCGATATTTCTAGGGCAGCCGTATTTTTTACTGGGAACTGCCGGGACTTCACCACGACCACAGGTTTCACTGGCACACAACCGGAAACCTCTAATCAAGCAGCAGGCCTGAGAAGACACAGGTCCACTCGTGTGGGAAGCGGGTGCAGATTGCGGGGCCGAACTCCGTTCTGCTGTGCATTTTCTCAGCTGACTCAACTGGGGAATACACTGTAGTGGCGTAGGAACCAATCGCTCATGGGCAGAGAGGCCAAATCGCCCAAGTGACCAAACAAAGGCCCGACAGGAGGCAAGGATGGATAGGCGAGGCTGGTTTGGGGTTTTGGGTGGAAGGTTGGTTGGGAAAGGGGGGAAAGGGGTGGCAGGTGTGGGAGGCTTGTTCTCGGACGGGGGGGTCAGCAGAGTCAGCCCAAATCCAGATGAAATACACACAACCCGCCAAAGAGCCAACCGCGCTGTAACGTAGCAAAACGCACTGAAACACACAATACTTGCGAAATCCCTCTAAAATATCTCAAATCTTTTCCGAACCAGAAACACCTCAAACTTAAAACCACAGACTAAAATAGCAAAGGGGGGGTTTCAAGTGCGCCGCTCTTGAAAGTGGGGACACTTGAAAAAAATCTGGGGTGCTAGTGCGAAACTGCCATAAGAAGTTTTGGGCAGACGGGCAGGTTTGAATCACAATATTACGCACCTACCGGAGGTTGGGCGATATTGAAACGCGTGCGACGAGGCGGTAAAGCCATGTACGACAAACCAAAATTTCCGCCAAAATGGCGAGAGAGGAATCCCATTGTAGCCGGGGCGTGTTTAGGTTCGATCTGGTCCAACGCCAAGTTATGCGAATAAGCAGAACTTGGACGAAACATGCATAGAGAGGGGACTACCTGCGTCAATATGCGTGACGCGAGAACGGGGTTCCGAACAGGTTGACTTCAGAAGGCTTGTGGAACCTCGAGACTCTTTTGCAAATAAAATTGGTATGTAACTCGTACACAATGTAATAGCATGTACCTGGAACGTTATGAATAGCATACAACAGTATCAACATCACAATGTAATATGCAAAATGCATTTTGCGCCTCTGTGGTTTAGAGAAACAATGCGAAGTTTTATTGCAAAATTAGGCCACGAAAATATGTGATTGCAGCGAGCAATACCCCTGCATGCATCATTCGCATATGTTGAAAGGGCAGCACGGGCAGAATTCCCCACACCAGTGGCAGCAGAGATACCGTAACTGCAGCATTGGCGGCAGTGCTGGCATAGAGGGACATAAGTGAAAGGGGTAGCGGATTGAGGAAAAGCTTGACATGGTGGGAGAAAAAGGAAGGGATGATGGGGGAAAGGATGGGAGATGGGAGCGAGGTCGGGAAAAAAATCATTGCCTCGACCACAAGGGGATGCGGCATAGGAGAGAGCCGGGGCACATCAGAGAGGGGGGGGATAGCAGAGAGAGGGGGGACAGCAGAGAGGGGGGGGCAGCAGAGAGCAGGGGGGTAGCAGAGACCGGGCAGGCAGCAGAGAGGTGGGGGACAGCAGAGAGCAGGGGGACAGCAGAGAGCGGGGGGATGGCAGAGAGCAGGCAGACAGCAGGGAGCGGGGGGATGGCAGAGAGCAGGCAGACAGCAGAGAGCGAGGGGATAGCAGAGAGCAGGCAGACATCAGAGAGCGGGGGGATGGTAGAGAGCAGGCAGACAGCAGGGAGCGGGGGGATGGCAGAGAGCAGGCAGACTGCAGAGAGTGGGGGAACAGCAGAGAGCAAGAGGAATGGAGGGACAGGAGAGAGCAGGCAGACAGCAGAGACCGGGAGCTTGATTCCAAATATTTAAGCCCTCTTACTGCCAAGCACTCCCCCTCTACCCGCCATCTGTTCTCCCTCACCCTGCCCTTTGTTCCCCCTCCCCTTGCCCTTTGTTCCCCCTCTCCTTGCCATGCGTTCCCTCTCTTCTCGCTTTCCGTTTCCCCTCACTTCGCCATTTGTCCCCCATTTTCTCTGTGCTTTCCGTTTCCTCTCTCCTCGCCATCCGTCCCCCGTCTCCTCTCTCTCCTCCCTCTCTGCTCGCCATCCGTCCCCCGTCTCCTCTCTCTCTCCTCCCTCTCTGCTCGCCATCCGTCCCCCATCTCCTCTCTCTCCTCCCTCTCTGCTCGCCATCCGTCCCCCGTCTCCTCTCTCTCCTCCCTCTCTGCTCGCCATCCGTCCCCCGTCTCCTCTCTCTCCTCCCTCTCTGCTCGCCATCCGTCCCCCGTCTCCTCTCTCTCCTCCCTCTCTGCTCGCCATCCGTCCCCCGTCTCCTCTCTCTCCTCCCTCTCTGCTCGCCATCCGTCCCCCGTCTCCTCTCTCTCCTCCCTCTCTGCTCGTCATCCGTCCCCCATCTCCTCTCTCTCCTCCCTCTCTGCTCGCCATCCATCCCCCGTCTCCTCTCTCTCCTCCCTCTCTCGTCGCCATCTGTCCCCCGTCTCCTCTCTCTCCTCCCTCTCTCCTCGCCATCCGTTCCCCCTCTCGTCGCCATCTCCCGCCTCTTCTCGCCACGTGTCTTTCTCTCGTCGCCATCCGTTCCCCCTCTCCTCGCTACGCGTTCCCCCGATCTTCTCGCTATCCGAGGCCCAATCCCCTTGCGGGAGTGTTTCATGGTCCGTGCCATTTAATCTCCGGCTATATACATCCGCTAGAGTCGTGGGGCCTGATGGCAGGTTTTACAACAGTTTTGGTACGCGAAATTAGGCGGGCACTATGTTTTGTACGCCGATCTTAGCTCATCCCAATGTGCACGTCGGTATTACGCCCAAGGTATCATTATATTTAGGATAAAAAACCTCCCCCTCGTAGTGCTGGGAGTTGGTCGTCGATGGGCGGGCGGTTTCCTTTTTTTGACCTGTGCTGTGGCAGCTATGGCTTCCTAAGCTTGACTGACTACGACATAATCTCCTCCTCCAAATCGTGAAGCACACCCATGGAGCTCTTGAACGACGGGTTTGAGGGTGGTAGTCGCATTCGACAAATTGTGCGACTTTCACACTTGTCGCACCGTGTTCCGCCGAAGTCGTTGATCAGTTTGGTGCGTCGTGGCCCTTTCGCTACGTTTCAAACTGTCGCAACATGTTTTTTTTCGTTTCGTTTGGTGCGTAGTGCTCGAGTATGGGTCGTTTATTTTGACCCCCAAAAAGCTCAGTTTTCAAGAGCGCCCAGGGTGTGCTTTTCTAGCCTGTGGTTTTAAAAAGTTTGTTTCCCAAATATAATGAGCGCAAGGAGCGTGTGTCGAAGGATAAATTAACGAGAAAACAATACAAGTGAGGCAACATTAAAACAGCAGGGAGCATGGATATAGCTAGCCTAGGAGCCCACAGTCGTGGCTCGGTAGAGCTGCGACGTGGGGTTTGAAAAGATCTATCTGGGCATGCAATAGCAAGGCGAGCAACAATGTATGCGGTTCGTCAGGAGGCCACTGTTAAATTAAATATTGTATTATATAATTGGTAGGCTTGGTAGGTTTTATCAAACTCTACTGTACAGGGTACAACTCCCTCCTTGTATGCCTCTCTCTCTTCTAGTTCTCTCTCTTTTCTCTCGTAAACTTTCACTCCTAGCTACTAGCTCCTAAACCCTCACGCCATTCCATGGCTTCCTTCCGTTTCTCCTAGCCTAGTTACTTTGACATGGTAACAGAGCGGGTTCCCCCTCCCGTGTCTGCTCCCCACACTTCCGCCGCGTATTCCCACTCCCTCGCGCGCTACCATGGCGGCCGCATCGAGCTACTGTAGAGGGTCCCTCTACAGTAGAGTTCGATAAGACCTACCAAGCCTACCAATTATATAACACAATATATAATTTAACACACCCCCTAGGCTTGGTAGTAGAAGCACCCACATACACCCACACCCCCTAACCTAGCGCCCCCATTCTAAGCATCAGCCACGTCTACTCCGCTGTGGCCAGCCCCCACGGCTCGTGACATTTGGGACCGCGATTTGAATTTCGTGGCAGAGATGCACGGCAACCCCGTTATAGCAGTGTACGCCTTATTGACTAAAATCCGTGATAAGGAAATACCATTTCCTTACACCCTCCCCCCTCCAAGGCATGGTCATTGTTAAGACCGCCGAAGTCGCACACATTGCGTGACTGGAGGTAGACCCGTAACACTGGGTAATTCTCGATCTGATCTAGCGCCGCCAGCACGCCCGCATGCAGCCAGCGCGCCAGCCACGGGCGGCTCGCTCCCTGGCTCCCCTGCAGAAGACCCCCCCCCTCCTCTGTGTTTCCCCTTCCTCCCCCCCGCAGTTGCTGACGGTCTCGTGCCATCCTCCCCCCATCGTCATAGTGTGTGCCACGCCGCCGGGTGCCTCGGGCGTCGCCGCCGCTGCCGCCGCCGGGTGCCTCGACGCCGCCGCCGCCGCCGCAGGTGCTGCAGGTCCTGCCGCCGCCACCATCGCAGTCGCTGTCGCCGCCGCTGCGACCCACGGCTGACGTCGCCGTCTCGATTGCCGAGGGGCCGACCCGCTGGTAGACCCCACAGCTGCTGTAGGACATGGGGATGTAAGGGCTTGGGGGTGTAGCGTGTGTGGTGTGCTAGCGCCTACCAAGCCTAGGGGGTGTGTCAACTTATATATTATATATATAGTTGTATAGGCTTGTTAGGTGTTCTACAATACTGATTCCCACTGTAGAGGGTACAACACCCTTCTTGCATCTCTCTCTCTCTCTTGTCTAGTCCGGCTCTCTTTTCTCTTGTCACTTTTCCTACCTAGCTAAAACCTCTCACCATTCTCATGCCTAGCTAGCTAAACCTACTTCTAACACTTCCAAGATACCA